CTTCAAATAACATACTTACTACTTCTAAAGGAACAGCCACAGAAGAAGCTCTGATATTAAAGCATGAGTGTGTATTCTAGCAACTGAAACCCTGGTTAGATTTTATATTTGATCTGATTTCTCTCCCTGTATCAAAACAGGGAGCAGTCATGCTACAAAATATCCTCACTCAGAGGGACCTCCCTTGCTGAGTCATTGAAATATTTCACGCATCCATTCTAAGTGCTGTCCAATTGCTGTAAAAAACATCAGTCAACAGAAATCATACCAAGTAAACATTAATCTCAGTCTCAGAGTCTAACTAAAGCAGAAGGAGCAGAAAAAGTGTGACAGAAAATGTTTCTTCAGCTTAACCGAGTTCTGTCTGCCTGGGATCAGCTACCCTTTCACTATAAGATAGAAAAGCTCCTTTTAGAAGCAGTGAGTACTACAGCTGGCAGTATCAGCTGTTAATATTAAGCTTTCAGAAGGATCAAGAGGTTGTCTGGTGCAATTGCCATTCCTAAAGAATATAGAATATGTATGTACCAAACTATTTTTTAAAATAATAGAGTGGACAGTGGCTAATCCTTCTGTTACTGTAAACTCGAGAGCTAACTTTTAAAATAAAAACATCAAAAGAAACAGAATTCGCTATCTGGACTAAATCAACGTGAAAACTTTGAAGGAAGTCCCAGCTGAGTAGAGAAACAGATTTTTTAAAAAATGTTTAAAGTCCTCTAGTACTTAAATGGTGAGGCATTTCCATACTGTTTTCACCTGCTTCAACACTTTCCCATGTACAACTGTGACATTATTAAAATTTTCCTGCTAGTAGCTTGTGTACTTGAACTTGTCCACAACAGCTCCTGTGCCCCTACACCTCCAAAAAGACTAACAAGGTGCTGCCTGCATCCAGGATGAAATCTTCTGCTTCCTTTTGCCACCATCCCCTCTTCCCTCATCCCCTCTGTGGCAGTGCCTCTGTAGAGTTTGTAGCTTCCCTAACAATGCTGTAAAGGGGAATTTCTAGAGCCTGAGCTGCCTGTTTGAAAACACGAACAGTATGAGAGCAAGTGGAACACATGCTGCTCTTTTCCTGGTTCACACAGATTTCACAATGGGGTACAATTACAAGCAGTAGTGCTTCTGAACTGCTGTTCCTTCTCTCTAATTTTACTCTCCCCTTTCTCTTTTTTCACACCTTTTCAGGAGTCCCAACCTTTCTGCACGTACAGAAGAGAGAATTTGTGGTTATAAACTTGGTCAGTGACATTTTGTCTTTGCTGGTTCTTTTGCGGGAAGCGGTCTCAGCAGAAGCACTGCTGGAACATCCCAGAGGGATTATTCATCCCCATCACACAGCACCACATCAGGTTTAAAAGCATGAGCCTTGAATCCCTCCATCCCTCTCCTGTGAAGTCCAGACATGCTCACTGTGATACAGCTCCAGTGCCTCCTGCAAGAGGTCAGTCCTTCATATCTAGTCTTGCTGGGCACCTTCACTACTTCATGGCTTAAGGAACCTTTCCATCTGAGTGTAGTGCTGATAACACCAAGGTCGCGGGTTCGATCCCCGTTCGGTGCCCATGTGTTGCCTGATCTAGTTGAGAGGCGTCTCTGACCATGACAGGGAGGGTGGATTTAACGATCTCTAAGATCCCTTCCAGCCTAGGCCATTCTATGATTCTATGATCTCAAGCAGTCATCCTCCCAGGCTGCAGGAATCCAATGTGCCAGACCTCAGGAGGCTATTCTCCCAAATGCTTACTATTTCTGCATCTCTTGCAGTTACCGATTAGCCAAGTAGTATATTATTAACCCACCAATATTAATGTTTGCATGGTGTTTTAACCCTACGCCAAGGCATTCCTTTCTCATACTTCTGCAAGCAACATCGCAATTTTTTCTGACTGCTCACCCTGCCTACTTTAAACTCAAAAGAAGAGATAAAACAAGCAAGCTAGGGGGTTTTTTTTAGCTTTCTCATCTTCGTACTACAGCTTCAGTGTCATTGCTTTGACTGACACCTCCAAGAACAAGTTGGAAATTTAGGTGCCATCCAGCCTTACTTATTTTAGTAAAGGCCCATGCGTCAGGGCCACAATCACTGTTATGAGGCCGCAGCTGGCATCCAACAGAACTGAATGCAAACAGTGGCATCACCATTAGTGTGTCAGGGTTATGCTTACGTCTGTTCAAAGGAGGTTGCGTTCAGTAAATATTATGGCTTCGGTAGCTGTTGCTATTGTCAGGAGAGCTAATAAAACTGGCCTCTTCGAGATACTGCCTTCCAGAGTCTTCTCATCACTTATTTTTGTCTCTTTTCTCGGGCCTTCCTGGACATAGTGGGGCTAGAATAGCTGTACCAACAGTGAAAAGTGAAAGGAAAAGGCTTGATGTGAATTTCCTTGTATACCTCGGAAAATTTATCCATCATTGACAGCTTTACTTTCACTTCTGTAGATCAACACTAAACTACGATGATAGTAAATCTGTTTTTCTGGACCACAACTGACTTGAATCAGATGATGATCAGGACTGAAACTGAAATAGCAGTTTCTTTCTGTTAAAAGCAAGTGAAAAGCTTCTAAAAGGACATTTTCTATTTCTAATCCACTCTTGAAAAGAAGTATTTTCTCAGCAATAAGCAAAAAGGACAGGCCACTGGTGGAAATGTACCTATTTGCTTGCCTACCAGTCCTGACATTAGAGATACACATGTGATATCACATGTGCAGTCAATTGTTTCCAAAGCAAGTATTTTCTTCTGTTGTGTTTTCTGGGTCTATTTCTGCACTTTTGAGGTGCTGCAGAGAGCTCAGCTTGAGGAAGTCTTTACTCCTTAGGTATCACTAGGGATTGGTCTCCCTGTGTTCCTTCCCACTCTGTTGTGTGTAAGGGGCACTGTACCACAGGTACTCAAGCTTTCAATGTGCTCACAGCAAAGTGAGTGCTTTCCCTGCCCCCCCAGGCTTTTGCCATTGAGCAGTTTGACCCCTGCTCTGCAAGGGCTGTGCCCTCATGGCCTTGGCACTGTCTGTCCTCACCATTGCTCTCTCCATTCATGTAAGAAGAAATTTCCAACTATTTTATTGCCATCGCTGTTTCACACCTAAAGACTGGCATGTTTCATGTCACAGTGACAAAACAAACTGGATGTAGACAGCTCCAAAGTGGAACCTTGCCAGCTCAGCATCTTCATCTACCTCTTCCTTCCAGAGACAAAGGGGAACTTGTTTATGGAAATAACAGAAGAATTTTAGGAAGAGACCTCATTCCTTTACAGGAAATACTCCTCTCGAGGAACATATCACCTACACTAGCTTCTAGCTGGCCAGCAGAGGGATCATGTATTAAGTAAGGTCATAAAGGACCTTGATGCTTGCAGACTGCAAAACAAAACAAATTATTTGTTTTCCATTATGGGGAAATATATGAACATTCATTTGTAGACACAAGTGGAATCTTCATGAATGAAAGTCACTCTCATATCACTTTAAAAATCTGAGAGTAGACCATACTCAACAAGTCATCATAACATAAAAAACGTGCTCCGTTAAACTTAAGAGATTTCACTTAGTAAATGTTCTGTGCCTAATGTTTTCTTTAGTCCCAGTCTCTGTGATTTTCGCTATAGAGAACTTAATTTGGAGCTCTGCATTATAACAAACCCAAAGTTTCAAATCAAACATAGAACAAACCATTGAGTTCCTCTCAGTGTGAAATTAAACCACAGATGGTCAATTCCATTGACTCGGCAAAAAAAAAAGACATAAACTCCTACAATACAATCCTCCTAAAATTGCTAGTAAGGTGAAACAGTACCATGCAACCATGTGCAGCTCAGAATCACAACAAATCCCCAAAAATGTGAGAGAAATGTCACTTCACAGTGACAGAATTTGCTGCTCTTTGGGATCCTCAGTAATTATTTTCAAGGAGCGTAGGAATCCTTATGACATAAACCTCCCTACACTTTGATAACATTTGAGAAAAAATTGCAATAAAAAGAAAATATTAACATTTTGAAACAGCAAATAGTCAATTATGCACCTTGCATTTATGTACAATCAAAATGTTACAATTCTTGGTATTCAAGAGAAAATACTTGCAAAAAGGCCAAATCATTCTAAATGCCTTTGTAAACCAGAATAAACAGCATTTGCTATGCAGTTATATAGGCAATAGTTGGAATTACACAAGTAACCGAGGTTTTATTATTAACATGGGTTTTTTTCTCATTTCTTTAGGCTCACAGTATTTGCAGTAAACCCCTCTGTAAATAATTGCATACTGTGTTTTATGAAGTGAAAGTACAAGTCCTGAGGATGAGCTTGGGCATTTATTGAGGGCTTCAGAACAACCCCATTGTCCCATCCTCTCCCACCTCATACCTTGAGAATGGGGGAAAGTCTCCTGGCATGAGTAAGGGCAAGTAGAAGAGTTTTAAACAAACAGCCATACACAAAAGCCTCAGGCAAGCCTTTCTTCCCAGTGCTGTCTCTAGCAGAAGCCACATAGAGCTACAGTTTGAACTTCATCTCTCAGGAGAGGAGTCTCCAGGAATGCAAGGTGGCTTTTCAATGGCTGCAATACTGATTTTGAAGTTGATCTGTGTCTTGTACCAGATGCTTTTTGCGTTGTGCAGATAGAAGTAAAGTATTTTACTGTTCCTGTGAAACCACTTAGATTTTTTTCCTGGAATTTCTCTTCCTTCCTTTTCCAAAGCCCTTGTTACCCTCCATGTGCAAACTTTCTCTGCTTTGAAACTTTCCCCGCTTTGAAACTTTCCCCCTGCTGACTGGACTAGATGCAATTATTTCCTGAAATATTTAATCTGTCAGTGTTAACTTTGGCCAGTCAAAGTAAATAAGAGTGAGTGAAGAAGAAACAGTAAAAATTTAACTCTGCTCCCTGAAGCCAAATGCCCAGGGCCATACCAGCAGGCAGGAGACAGACATAGAAGCCTGTGATGACAAACACACATCACGCACCGCGCTGCCAGCCCCTAGCCAGAGATGACCGGCTTCCTATCAGACGTGGTAAGTACCTGGTGGGGTATTTACATCTGTTACAATTTGTATGCTACCAGTAGTACAAAGAAAATAAAATCAGTATCTCGGTAAAAATAACAAGGCTTCTGTTCATGAAAAGCATCTCAGAAGTAGTTCTCACCATTTTGAGATATTACAGGTGTTCGCACTTCATATGCTCTGTCATCCATCTTTGTCTTATTTTTATCAATATGTTAATGTTTCTTACATGTTTTCATTTACTGAAAAAGATTTGCTTACTTTTAAATTTAATTTGCTTTGCTTAGCTGCTGAAAAAAAAGTTTTGTTAAATTCATCACTCATTTAGTACAAGGAATAGCAGGCAGAGGTTTGGAAAGCCAGGGAACAGAACTGGATGTTGGTAGCAATGGCATCTTTACAGGGATGTTTGTGGGATCCTGTAGCATTTAAGTCCTGGTTATGACTGAGTCTTGAACCCTCACATGTCAGTGAGGCAACTCCAGTTAGGATGATGTCTCTTTGAGAAAGACCTCCCAGCCTCTACTGGACGCACTTTCCTCATTCAGGAAAGAGGAATACAGCAGGACGCCTCTGAAAGGCTGGCAATTTTCCGTTTATTCACAGCATATCCACTATGCCCTGGTGCAAAGGCTGCTGCAGTTAAACCGAAGTACTAGGTTGGCTGCGTATTTTCAAATCTGTAACCAACTAGGAAAAAAGCAAAGTAGGATACCTGTTCTCAAAGCACCCAAGAGGTCAAGATGACTATGGTGCTTTAAAGAGGCAGGAGAGGCAAAAGCTGAGAACTGATGATGGTGAGAAGAGCTAGAAAAGACACCTCCCTCCTCAGAATAGCTTAAGCAGAACCAGTGCAGAAGGGCAATACAGTTGCAAGATGTTTCCTTGCTGTTCCATTCTCTCCATCTAGGTTAAAACCCATGAATTTCCAGCAGCTGCCACACTGACAAAAATCTGAGTGGAAAAACACGCTACAAACATCAGTCTCTTTTTCTTTTTTTTCCCCCTCCATTTCAGACATTTTATTTTTTTTTAATGTTCAGCTGCTGTGGGCAATTTCAGGAAGTTTTACCACAAAACTTGAGTTGAGGGATCACTGCCCAGTCTTCAAGGGCCTGAAGGACAGCGAGCACAATCTGGTTTCAGAGGGCCTCATCACTACTGTGAACACAAGTCCAAGCTGCAGGTAGCCTGGCAGCAGAAAGCAAAGTAAGACCTCACTCCTCAAAACCACTCTCACATGTATTAGTCTTGGAGTGCAAAATGGCCTTCAGCTTGCTACCCTGTTGACTAATTATCAAGGAGGGGAAGGAAATGTAGTGGTTTCCATAGATAAACGCTGCATTTCCTTGAGTTTAATGTA